AGCAGGTCTAATAGGGCTCCTGGAAAGATCCAGGGAGTCTGGGCCACGAGGCAGCTCTCCATGTATCGCTGGCTTAAAGAGATCCTCGGTTCTTCAAGCCCGTTTGGGAAAAATGATTATCAAGCAGGCAACAGAAATATTAGTAACCGTTTACCTCCAATCTGAGCGTCCTTTCTGTGGGCAATGTTTTTATTTAACATGATTTGAACACAAAACATCGTGGTACTATTTCAGTTTTGCTAGGAAAGCACTGACAATTATTTTCATTAATTATTGAAGGCTTACGTCACGACTAAAATAAGCCGAAGTTATTCGAAAAGAACGACCCGTTCTGCTAGTTCTCCACACCCTGCGTGGTCTCCTTGTCTGTAAGCAGACCAATAATGACCGATAACGCCTGTTCCTCCGTTACCTCCAAAGTACCGAAGAGCTGCCGATGCCTTTTTCAAAGCCTGGGTAGACGCGGCATCAGCTTTCGCGCCCACGGCCTCCTCAGGGCCCCCTTCACCTCCTCGTTCCTCAGGCCGTAGATGAGGGGGTTGAGGGTGGGGGTCAGGGCGGTGTAACACGCTGAAACCAGCTTCGCCTGGGACGACGAATAAGAAAATTGTGAATACGGTGGTTTGTAGCTCTGGGGCATCGGAGAAGCCCAAGAGGATGAAGTCAGACAAAACGGTGAGGTTTTCGCCATCCATCGTTTCTACAAGTTAGATGAATTTGCATAAAAATAAAATGAATCGCTGAAATAAATGCCTAAGAGAGAATTACTGTGGAAACATCGGAGTTTAATCCATAAAGTTAATGCAATAGAAAAATGGTGTGGCTTTTTTTAGAAAAATACAAGGCAACTGTATTTCTGCCTTTAATCCAAGCTTCGAAGTCAAAGAGGTGAAGGAGTTAATTACACGGTCAGATTTTAACAGAGAATAATTCTGCCGTGATTTACATACACCGTACTAATGATAGGCTAAGAAATACCAAAATGTTTATTCAAGTGTAAAAAAATGAAGTCAAATAAGCACATTCCAAAATGTGGAAAACAGAGAAAATTCAGCTTTCTGGAAATTATTTCTGGAAATTTTAAGGATTTTTTTTTCTTTTCTTTTCTTTTCAGACTGGATCAGTGCTTTTCTGTGGCCTCATTGGTTCTGGTGCAGCCTTTTCATCACGAAACAAAGCCGTGCACTTGAAGTTGTTTTTAGGTTTGGTTTTTTTTTAATTTCTAAATTTATCTGCTTTTGAAGAAAAACCCCCGTGTGTGCTGGGTGGGGGCGGAGCAGTGGCATTATCTCCAGCAGAGCTTTGCTGTGACTGCAGCGAGCTTTCTATGACCAGCTCAAATATCCACGTAACGGTGTTAAAATATATTATCAATAAGCCAAACTTTTTAACGCTTCAGCTCGGATATCCCCATCTCCCCCACTCAGCCCCTCTGCAGACGAATTATCTGATGGAAGATCTACGGACAGATGTCTACATCTCAGCTGAAATGTCCCTAGATCAGTTGTAGATGGGGTCAGGAGCGTGGGGTTTTGAGGCAAGCCTCCCAGCCCCTGCGAGGGCGCTTGGGTTCACGATGTGGATGCTCTCGGAGAGCGCGGATGGGCTTCCTTTAGAAGCATCTGCACCAGTTCATCCCGGCCGTGAGACAGCAGAATAGGCTGAATTTAAAAAATGCAGAAGGCTGAAGCGAGCGCAGGAGGGTAATTAAGTCCCAGTGCCACTCGTTTTACTCTACCGACCTCAGATCTTCTTGGTCAACATGGCTCGGTGATGGAGACGTAGCTGTAGCTCCGTCTGGATGGCTGGTACCCTGGAAGTGTGCACTTCTCTCCATTGACACCACCTTCATCACGGGGATTGCATCGGTTGGGTCCTGGAGGCGCACGTTTCCATCCCGTAAAGGCAAC